TTAAATATAATTTCATAAATAACACATATATGAATAATTTTGATATTTTGTTAAACCATGTTTTAGGAGTTCATCATGTCATTCCAGGTGAATAAAAGTTGTATTTATTCGAAAGTTGTAACATCTGCTGTTAATGATGTCATTTAATTTACATTAACATGAGGGCATCCATCTTTGAAAAATTCAATCAAGTGAGTGAGTGTCCTGACAACAATTTTATTGAAAAATCTCTCGTTCAAATAAAGTGTCTGAGTAACATATGTTTTCCTTGCCAAAAATATAGCCAAAAAATATGAATGAATTCTGTTTTTCACCTGCAAAAATTTGTTCTTTGGATATATTTCTTGTTTTTCAATTTCACAAGCAGTTAAAAATTGGATTAAGCTCCACAAACACAGATTTGTGACGTCACTTGGTGATTAGAGACTTGTATTAACTGACATACATTGTAGGCGTTAGGGAGTAGAAACTTTCAAACTTCTGTTCTTCCTTTTTTGAGGACTCTGATTCATCAAAAGACACATACCAAGCAGAAAGTGCACATTTAACCAAACTAATTCTCAGGTTGAAGCTAACGCAACAACAGTTCCTGGTAACAACTCCGATGCTAGCTCGACTTCTAGTGCAGGCAGCATTCAAAACTCAAATTGTTTTGTTTGATCATGATATGAATGTGCATCACTTTAATCAATGTGTTGATAAACTGTTTGTAAATCCAATAGGCTTGAGTTGATGAATATGAATCATAATTTTTAAATGTATGTTCTGAACTTTGAGTATGAGGTGGCCATTTTGGTAATGTAAGTACCGGTATTATTATTCATGCGTGACATGACCCGAGTACTGCTTTTTATTTTTCAAAGGATTTCAATGTCAATATCATCTTTATTATATTATTGGAAATGTGGTTCAGCCCTGTATGCTGAATATTGTTGATACAACATCAGGTTTTAACATGAGCTTAACTTTTTTCCGTTAACTAAGACAATGAATCCTGAAAAGCATCTGTAATGAAATATGTGCTGGTATATAATACAGTGAAAATTACAGTCTTAGTCCATAAAACAAATCCTAGGATCACTAGAAAAATTGAATAAAGAAATACCACTTGCACAGTGTCAATAGATTTCCATTGTTTTTACTACATGTACATTCTGACCTTGTTGTAACAAACTTTTTGTGGGGAACAAACATTGTATAAGAAAATTCATCACAAAGGTGTTCATTAGGATGAGGTTACACTATAATCCGGAAAATGCCAGAGAGCCAGAAAAAGTCAAAATCCATGAGTTAAGAGGATGTGGTTCAAATGTAAAGTAATCATCGTTTACCAGCCGGATGCTCATATTCTAGTTTCATAAATATTCTAAAACATCATAAACCAGGGCAAAGCCCATCAAAAAAAATGAAAGCTTGTGTATCACATTTCTTAGGTACTTTAACAGGCGATAAACAAAGCCCTAATGTCAAACAGTAGCATGGATGTTTGACAGACAACTCTTTACAGTCAATTGGTCATCTGGGGAAAACTACATCTGGAAAAAACTAACTAACTGACTGAATTATGATTGACACCTACAAAACATGTGTTAGTGTCAGTTGGAACAAATTCAAACATCTTTCCATTCATAAATCTTCTTAAGGTAAATAGATTAGCCCTAAAATTAGCCTGATCGATTTTGATGATTTTTGCCATACATACTTTTACAACTGTTTCCTAACAGTGACTTTCAAGGTCTCAAATTTGAAATAATCGCCAAAATGACCTGCTGGTCACAGACATACAATCTCATCCTCTATCGGTATATAGTGCATAGTAATGCATAGTTTTTCAGCCTAGCTTGGAGGTTTTGACGTTGGTAGTAACACAGTGTATAAAGGGATTATAAAGATGCCTTTCCAATGTGATATAATTTGTAGTAATAACATAACAAATGCATTGATACAAATTCAGAGGCCACACTGATTGCCAGAGTGATAGATACTTCCTTCACATAAATCTGTGACATTTTAAGACAATTTTTTGGCCTCAGTATACAGCACACATACGGCTCATATGCCTTATATTCCCCAAGAATACTACACATATATATCTTCTACTGGAAGAGCATCTTTACTGAGATTGCATTCAGTGTATACTGGATCATTATTTTAACCACACCTCTGTTATTTAAAATTTAGAATATGTACAATACAGAAACTATGAAATGAATGCATACTTACAGCTCGAACTAGGCCCATTGAATTTGTATATTGTCGCGCCAAACCGAAGTCTAGCATATAAACTTTTCTGTTGGTAGTAGGTAGCCGACCCATGGCAAAGTTGGACTGTAGAAAAAAACATAACAGATGCTCTGAATAAGGGAAGGATGTTAATCAATGGGATTGCACCATTGCATTGTGGGAAAGCACTGTCTCTGTCTTGAGTATACTTTTCACGGCATGACTATTAAAGGGAAGGCTTTCAATCCCCGGAACTGCACCATGGCATTGTGGGACAACACCGTCTCTGTCTTGTGTACACTTTATATATATCACTGTCAGGCCTGTCCATTATTAAAAGGGTAATCTGTCAAACCCTGAAATTGTACTAAAGAATCATGGAACAGCGCAGTTACAGGTAATGTCTTTTTCAAACCTGTTTCAATTATCATTTTTATCCAAGTAAATTTACTATGAGAATTAGGCGTATAACAGGACACACCTTTAAAATACAAATTTCAAAATTGTATATCAATGCAAGGATGGTAGATACAGTAACAGCGCAGTAGGACATTAGTTCATGATCTAAATCCACATTACACAACCACAAAACACAACATAAACTAGAAATAAGACAGGGATGGGAAATATGTAAATGAATTACTGAATGTAATACGTTAGCCGATATATGCCTGTCACTTTGGGACTGGCTGAATGAATGCAGATAAGACATGAAATGTCGAGCAAGATAAGCAGGAAAAGACATCGAATGATGAGTGGATGTAACATGATAACACTACAAATGAGCAATTTATGTGATTGCATCTTTTCTGTGAATGTGACAAAGATGCATTATGTGGGCATTAAATATATAATTAAATGTCATATACACGTGGCTGTTACAAATTGCAAATTGAAGTGGATATTCTATTGCCAGAAAACAGATTCTTAATAAAAAGATGGTTTTGTCTTATTCGCTGAGAAAGACTTTTTGGGTGTTTTGTATGGAATATATTTTCACTGACTTTTGACAAGTTAAATGTTAAATATAGGAAAAAAAGGTATATTCGCTGGATTTTATTTTCACTGAATCATCCCTTCAGCGAAAATAAAGTATTTTACAGTACACCAAATCAAATTTGAATTCTAATTAAACCATTCTGAACTAGAATCAAATCGATGCAACTGTTTTTATATATGGTACATATAAAACAAATGTACGACATGTGTACAGACACTATTAAATGTAATATCAGTTGATCAACCCAGTAAAAACAATCACACAAACAGCATGCATACTGAGCATCCTTCACAATGAGAAAGTATCATGCACAACTTATTTGTTAGAACTTTACTTTGAAAAACACATGAAAGCACATGTGATCTGTGTTGCTAGGACGCATAATAATTCATAGTCACCGCACACAGGGATTCTAATTAATTAAAGGCAGCAAATGAAGTGCCAGAGATCTGTCAGTAAATACATACCGGTTTGATATCTCTGTGGAGGAAGCCAACATCATGTATGTTTTCAATGCCTTGTAATAACTGCAAACCCAGACGTAGTGTAGTACTAATTGAAAAAGTTCCTTTAGCCTGACTTCTTCTGAGCTCAGCGAGGTTTTGAGCCTGTAGCGACATAACCACATAGTTGAACTGATCATTACGTCCACAGCCAATAAACCTGCAAACGTGATCTTTTCCTGTGAAAACATAAAACACAGTCATGCTTTATGACCATATGTAGTTTTTAAAGATTTAAAACTGATCTTAAGAACAAGAGAAGTAACTTGGTCTGAAAAGCAGCATGCCTTCTATCAGATCAAACACCACACATCTCTTGAGTATTCTACATCACACTATTACAACCTTCACACGAAATTGAACATTTCAGGAAGTTTTAGCAGTATTCAAATTTTTATGAAAAGTATTTTAACAAGTCATAAAAGAATAGTTTAGTTTAGCTTTAAAGCGAGAAGGTCGTCACCTGGCTCGCACGAGAATTGAGTCCCAAGCGATGATAACACACGCTAAAATGCAAAGGCTTATGGGTAGACGCTTGTTTGTAAACAATGACACGCTATGGCCATCTGACGCATGCGCAGGTGACGACTCCCCCGCTTTAAAGTTGCATTTCTACTTAATCCCAGATTTGTTTCTCTGGTGAAATTTAATAGTTTACAATATCCCTGCAGTCCAGTGATAGATTATTTGTAGGAAATCATTAGAAATGGAAATATAGTGCACTGTGAACTCCATCATCATCATCTAGTAATACACTCAACTGCATGCAATCACTAGGAGGGCGAATGGCATGGTTACTTGGCAACCGTCCTCATCTGTATGGGTTCATACATTTCCATCACTAGCAGACATATGGTCACATTTTTTTTAATAAATGACTTTAAAAAAAATGTGTTTATCTATCTTTACTTTGAAACTACCAGTAGTATCTATCTGACTGCACCTCATCCATGCTGTGTGTGAGTTAGTTTAAAAATGGGTTATTTGACACCCGGTTCTAACATCAGCATAATTGACTTCCATACTTTCTGTCTGGTAAAAAATTTAAAAAAAAAAACAACCTCACATAAAAACAATATGAGCTGTTTTGAGCTTGGGATACAGCAAAAATTAGAATTTCATCGGGTAATAAATACATGCGTTACAAATTTTAAAGATTCAGTGTGGTAACACTATCTCAAAACATGCCATTTGACATTTGCTATTTTGAGTGAGCAACAAGCTGTGTACATATAATACCAGTAAAAACACAGCTATAATGGGAAACTGGCAGAGAATGTACAGTATTAACATGACAGACACAGAACGATTATCTCTGCTAAAGAAACAGGATGCAGTGTTGAGAAACAAATTGTAAATGCCAAATATACAGCAAAATATAGAAAAGTATCATCTTAATCTCCAGTGTTTGACCCTTGACCTTTTGTAGAGAAATGAAAACATTTGGTCATGTGATAGAAACCCAATGACATCACCCAATCATACATTTCCTTATAAGACAGAAGAAGATAAGTTTCTGAGTCAATGTACTGCTTTGAAAAAAAAATACTGTAACAATACCATCAAAATATAGTGTCAACTGCTTTGTTTTTATGAGTGGAATAACAACGAATTTTGTACAGTGAGCATTTTAAATGGGTCCTTAGAGACAGTGAATTTGGTGAAATTGCATCTTTGCAAACACCTATCACTAAACCCATAACAACTTAACAATTTAAAGTATTTAATGTAAAGTAAATGTTTTGTATGTGCACAAATGACATTTTAATCTTATGAGAAGAGATTGAAAGCTGCATCTCAAACTCTGAAATTATAAATATATTTCTACCACTTCACACTATTAACTGTTTTTATTTTTCATCTTTCATAGACTTTGCAAAATAAATGAAAGTAGGACAGTCATGTACATGAAAGAATGAAATGAAATCAGGTCAGAAAGCTAGTTGCAGACAGACAAAACCTGCACCTAATTAAATTCACAGAATGAATACCACTAGTACATAATTTGTTGAATATCCTTTGAACAACTATGGTCAATATTAGATTCCAGACATTTTGATTACAGGAAGTGACTTTTAGGTCATTTAGTACATGCATCTAAAAGGAAAACAACATCTGGAATGGAAATGTGGCTTTAGCAAGCAACCTTTAGACAGACTGCTCATGAATCAGTGGTACCTGTCATGATAATACTCCTCCTTATGACTTATAACACCAATTGTAAGTTACCATAGCAATAAGACCCTTATTATCAGTAAATGTAAATGCAGAACTATGGTTGCTAAGGCAACAACCATCACGATGGTGATGAGTATTGTTGGTTTCAACTAAAATTAGGTTTAATCACAATGCCACTAAAAGCCCATGAGCATCAATTATGTTCAATGTTTTTACCATATTGAGTAATATTTTTACAAATGAAAAAAAAAATTACACAAAGGAAAATCATAATTTTCTGAAGAAACAAAAATTTCACTTCTGTTGAATCCAGTCTTTGTGAACACCATTTAATTATCACAAATAGTGAACATATATCCGTTTACAGTTTTTGGTTAAAAAATAAGGATGGGATGGGGTTATGTGGCAGTGGTGGTGGGGGTACCTCAGATTCTCACCTTGTAGTTTTTTGAGAACAGCCACTTCCATTTTGAGCACCTGTTTTGGCTGAAGTGCTGATTCACATTTGACAGCAACATGATCACCGGTTTGAAGATCTAAAGCCTCATAGATTTCACCTGGAAGTAGTAAAGAGGCAGAAGTTATATGCAATACAATCTTAGAATCTATGCATTCCACTCTTATAACGTCTTGGTACATGTAATAAAAAAAAAAAACCTAAATACCCACAACTTATACTTGCTAATGAGCAGTATAAAATTCTCAAGAAGTAGTTAGAAACCTTTGCTCCACACTTTTGCATCCTGGGTAAGTGCACAACATACAATAAATTGGAGATGTGATTATTTATGTGTCAGAAGATTTTTGTCCATTGTATATTTAATAATTAATAAACGATGAAAATATATCTTGCTTTTCAAGTACTAAATAATATTTAACTCATGTCACTGTATCATTTTCAATTTTCCCTAATTGTTGGCCTTATGATATCGCTCCCTTCATCTGAACACATGAATAAAATACAATACTCACCAAAGCCTCCACCACCAATTTTCGCTACCTAAAAAAAATCAAAATTGAAGTTTGAGTACTAATACATATACAATTCACAGTTATAAGAGATTGTCATATACCAGTACATGTAATGCATACTGTATTTCAAGCCCAAAACAGCAGGCTGCAGACACCTTATAAAACATTCACTTTCATAACAAACATTCTTGAGAGTAAACTGCCATGTCTAGGCATGTTTTTTTTAGGTCAGTTAGCAGTTGTGTTTTGACTGAGACAATATTATCATTAAATTTCTTCAAAGACAATTCCATGGAATTCATTCTCAGGGCATAAAACAAGTTTTAATTTGTATTTGACATAGAAGGGTGGCATAGACTAAGTTTTGTCAATCTATACTACACATTTTAATTCGCACTATAAATTACAATTTATTTTGACACACAAAATACAGGGTAAACATTTATTTTAACAGATTACGCAGTCAGTGTCAGCTAAAACAAATTACAATAATGTATTATAACTCATTTTTTGGTGACCACTACCACCAGTCAGCCATGATTTGCAAAATCAGTCAAAATAACCTGCCAGAGCCTGGAAAGACAAGGTCAGTGAAGGTTAAGCCTCATTTTGAGCATGCCTCATTAATCAAACGCACATATATGTACAAGAGCATCAAGCATTATACAACCAACTATTTATGACATAACAAAATTGGAAGTTAATTAAATGGAAATAACTCAATAGCTTTCTTAAAATTTGATGACATAACAGACATATCTTCCCCCAATTACCTTCCCCTTCAACACAGTGAGTGAAGGACAACAGTAACAATGTTTGACATGAGCAAAAGACCTCTGCCTGTGTTCTCAGGTCACATTATTACATTTGCAGATGATTAACTTTTAATAGTCTACCTTAGATAACCTACATAATCATGGTGGATGACTAAACCATGCACTGATCACCTAGCAGCGCCAGTTGCATAAATACGTATAATACAACCATACTTTATACATAAAATATTATTTTATTTGGGGTTTTAATAACCCGTTTATCCCCTGACCCATGACAACACATTACATTTACACCCTAGAACTTCTGTTCAGACTAAACTACGGAGACATGCTGAAACAACCCAAGCTATGATAAATAAACACTTAACTGACACAAAACACCTGTTTAATCAACTGCTTTTTTATTTGATTATTTTTTACATTCCACACAGAAGTCACTGTCACCAGACTGAAGGAAAGATTTTATTGACTAAAATTTTCCCATAAACTTGCTAGAACATGCACATATTGAAGTGAATGGATGCCTTCCCATGATGTACAGCAGTGGTAAATTAAAACAGATGGACATGGTATTTGTGAGATTTAAATCAGTCTCAACAGCTAGACTTTGCACTAATTAAAACTATTATAATCATACAGCATGTTGCAAACTAATCAGGTGGGGAGAGAGGAGGGGGCGGTCATCATAGCTATGGAAGCAGATGTGTTTGTGCATTAATTATAGAAACATACACAGAATACACTACTACTTATGTCATGTGAAACAGATGTATTTTTTTCTAATGATTAGATTGATTTTAATGATTAATGATTAGACTAATGATTAGATATTCTTATTTTTGTATTTTTATTATGGTTTCATTAAGATACATAAATTGGGGTCAACCAACTATTTTTCAATTTTCAATCCAGTCCACAGTGTACTGGAAATTGGGACAATTTGCATGAAAATATCTTTGTTTCTATAGTGAAAACATTTCTTGAAATTTGGCTCATAACAGGGATTAAAAAGGTTGTGTATTGTTATTGCAGTCTTCTCAACGTGAAATTAGTATGCGAGGCAGAATTGCAGTTCCATCAGTTTATAGAGTATGAGACAAATATCCATCCATGTGAGACTTGATACCGAAGTATTCTGTTCCCCTTATAGTAGAGATAGTGTACTCAAATGCTTGTTGTTCGAATTGTCTGTTGTAAAATAACTTAGTAACAAATGTTTAAAATCACATCATTTCATTTAATTTTCTAAATTTATAAATAGTCACATGTATTTCCTCACATTTTTGAGAGACAATTTGATTAGTGAGAGTAAAAAAACTGGAAAAAACAAAATAAATTGGTAAGAGTCCTGATATTAGGCCAAAAAAAAACAACTTATGTTGCCCTCAAGTCGGAAAATTGAAAAATTTGGGCAGTCGGTCAGAATTTTTTTTTATTCAAACTTGTGAAAACTAAGGGTATCGTAAATAGCCGAGGTATATGGGAATCAATCAAACGCATGTTAGATATTAAACACAAAAATCAAAGTGTTTCTTTCAGTCTTTTGTATTTAAATACAGATCAACCCGAGGTTCAAAGTCGCCACTTATCCCCTCGGGACCTTGGGGATCAAACAGCGATCCAGGATCGTTAATTTTTAGAGGAAACACTTTTTTACTGCTTAAAATAGTGAGTTTTTAATATTATTAAACAAGCAGCCTGTCGGCTGAGATAGCTCCGCTGTTAGCAATGCACATGGCAATTAAAGAACAGAAGATATCATTAGAAAATGAACAAATCTGAGAGAGGTCCACATGTAGTACCTATATGTATAATATATCAAAGCAATTGGACTTGCGGTTTTCAACAAGAAGTCGAAAATATCACTTTTTACCAAAAATTACAAAAATATTCACCAAAATTAGAGAATTGAAGATATCATTACAAAATGAACAAATCTCAGAGAGGTCGACATGTAGTACCTATATATGTAATATCAAAGCAATTGGACTTGCGGTTTTCAACAAGAAGTCGAAAATATCACTTTTTACCAAAAATGACAAAAATATTCACCAAAATTAGAGAATTAAAGATATCATTACAAAATGAACAAATCTGAGAGAGGTCCACATGTAGTACCTATATATGTAATATCAAAGCAATTGCACTTGCGGTTTTCAACAAGAAGTCGAAAATATCACTTTTTACTAAAAATGACAAAAATATTCACCAAAATTAGAAAATTGAAGATATCATCATGAAATGAACAAATCTGAGAGAGGTCTACCCAAGGTACATATACACCAAGTATCAAAGCATTCAGGCTTGTAGTTTTCAAGAAGAAGTCGAAAAAGTAAAACATTGACACGGACGACGACGACGGACAATCACTCATATGATAAGCTCCGCTCGACAAAGTCGACAGCGGAGCTAAAAAACAAACAAACCGCCACCTGATATTTCATATTTTTCGCTTGGGGCAACAAAACTATTTTTTTTGGTCTATTACGAAGTGTGATAATATACATTCTCATTCATATTCAAAAGCATTTTTTCCCATAATACATTGCACATACATTCAGTAACATGCTTGAATTTGGCTCACCCTTTTTTAAATTAATCTGTTGCTCAGCTTGAAAAGTACCCTATTGCATAAAATTAATCTGCGAAGATCATCAGGAGTAGATATAAAGCGTGGAAGCATACAAAATTTAAGTTGGAAGTCATTTTCAGACCTACAGGTAATTTATCTGTATATGCATCATCAAATAAGGTCAAATAAGGTCACAGAGTGCTGCAGTTCAAATAACAGGGGTCAATGGGGATATCATGACCATTGTATATATATAATTAACTTTCCAACAAAATTATCCACACATTTCAGTGCAACAAAGCAAATATTAGTGCTTCCAATTAGAATCTGTAGTTCTTAGGTTAGGGCAAAAAACATAGACATGTATCTGGTCTGTGTGCGTTAGTTTAAAATGGGCTTTACCCATGTTTTTTTGGAGATATTTTATTTCTGTGCATTGCCTTTTGAAAATGACCCACATGTCTTGACGTGTTCTAGAGCAGGTGATTGCTGATCAGTAGTAACATTTAATAACATTTGATAAAATCCAAGCAACTCTCTCAAAATGATTATTTAATATTCATTTTTGTAATTTTTAAGTGTTATTACAGTATACTGAGTACTATACATAATTTATATGAATTGAGCTTGATACATTTACGCATAGAAAAAAAAAATATATACAAATTATTTTAATATGCAAGTAAAAGTGTACATAATGCAGGTTTGGGGGAGGGGTAGTAGTTTCAAGTTCCTAGCTGAATAGATATGACTATTTTATACCAAGCTTATTTTGATTCTCAATGAACGTGACCAATACATAAACAGATTCTAGACACCAGGGCATGGGGGAATTGAGGGCACATAAAACATACTTACCACTTTCCATCTGTCTTTAACCAATGCACTGGCCTGTAGTAGATCAGTGTCAGTCATCTTCTACTACCTACTCGTCACTTGGACGTAGTTGTGTTCTTGCGTCTTCGTCTGCTGCTGTTGTTGTTGTTCGTGCAACCATGGAGAGCTCATGCTCATCCTGCATTGCAGAAAGAAAAACACGTCATTAAATAAAACATTATATCAATCATAAAAGTTATACTTGAGCTGTAACTTTCATCAGCGATTTCATTATCAGTCTTCTCACAGCGCTCGCCACAGGTGACCAATACACAAAGCAAAACGTGGTAGTAAAAATGATGAAGGACGTACGACACTAGAAGTATGGCGAATAAGACCATGACCCAGGACTGGATCGGCACAAGGGAAAATCACTACACACTGTTTCCATTACCAGTAACTGATAGCCTATATAGCCGATCAGAATGCTGACCTATTAAGTACAACTATTCAATAAATACCATTTGGCTGTCCTCATATTATCTAGCAAATCAGCACGAAACTTCAGACAAGTGACCATCAGTAAGATCACTGCCAAAGCCCAGTAATCGCAAAGAGAAACAACTTGTTAGGGATGTTGATGATATCTAAAAACAACACAATGAATAAGGCCAAGGTCATATCAACACTGAAGTTGAAGTATTGCAATTAATACACTACTACTGTAGTCTACATGTACGTATCTCACAGGGAAGAAACATACACAATGTGTTAATTAGAGATAAACACACATTATATAAATAAGTCATGCCAGTACCGAATAATTCACTGCTGCGGCATGATGAGAACAGTAATATTATAAACCAGCTGCTTTCCCGCACTGAAATATCCCATATTGGATATATGTCCATTAGCGGCCAACAATTAATAAGAACAGTCGAGGTAAAGAGATGCTTCCAAATCCTGAAAGTGGTCTGATGATGATGATCCATCCAGCGACATACTATGATGAGATCACATGGTCATGATGTACATTGCAGTCGTGACTTGATAACACTGTTGACTCACATCCTACCAAACACTCCCTAATGCATTCATGCGACTGCATGACCACCAATCAGATTATTTTTTTTGTAACATCACAAACTTATCATTTTTCGTCAGACATCCTCTATGATACCAGATCAAAGTAATTTGAGGAAGCTGAAAAAACATGCAAGGATATTCAAGAGATCGGCTTTCATTGTTAGGTGATCGTATTGTTTTATGAAACATGCTCCTCTTCTCTTGACGCTCACATTTTAGTATTAGTGACAGAACAGAAAGACAATACTGGGAAGAGTAATACAATAGAGATAGGGCCCTCAGTCTGCCGAGGTGTGATTACAGTTTCTAAAATTATCAAGGCTCACTATTCAAATCTCGGAAAGCTTAATGCTCAATAGCAGAGACTTGGTTTCTTTAGTTGCTATGTTATCATGCAAGTAACAGAATCAATCTTGCAAACCAAACAAAGAGAGAGTTTCACTACATGTTTTGTATATTTAGGGTTACCAAGTATATGCAGTTTTATGCTGAGATTTTAGTGTATCAGCTTCAGGTTTGTTGATTATGTCAGGTACACTGAATGAAGCAGGACACACTAATAATATGTAATATTTTGGTATCCATGCATGGACTACAAATGTACAAGTCACTCTAGAGAGTATTCTTCACGGGTGGTTTTAGGGGGTAGAGTCTCAGCTCTCAAATTTATTCGGCCCCTCTTCATTTAGTAGCATCCCCTATTTATCCTATGTGTCCTTCTTTGTTTCTGATCGAAAGTTGTTTCAAACGATCACTAGAAGATGTCAACATTATTGAGAGACCCCTTGTACATGTATAATTACCAGGCAATAAACAAAGACCAAGTGTCAGACAGTAGCACCAATGTTTAACAGAACAACTATGAATTGGACATCTGGGAAAACTAACTGACTGAATTAACCATCAATAAAACAATGGCTATATGCGAAAAATTATTGACACTTGGTAAATGCAAGTAGTATTATTAATGTGTTAGTGCCAGTCGTTTTTATTAATAGCCAACAGATTCTCTTTTTGTTCTCTTTTTGAAAAGAGTGATTTCAAAACATGAAAGAAGCAGCCTATCGGCTGAGATAGTTCGCTGTTAGCAATGCACATTTCAATTAGAGAATTGAAAACATCATCACAAAATGAACATATCTGAGATCGGTTCACATGAGGTACCTATATGTATAATATCAAAGCCATCAAACTTGTTGTTGAAGTTGAAAATATCTTTTTTTATCAAAAATGAAAGATATCTTCATGAAATGAACAAATCTCAAGGGTTATGCGAGGTACATATACACCAAGTATCAAAGCAATCAGACTTGTAGTTTTCAAGAAGACGAAAAAAAAGTAAAAAGTTGACAGACGACACCGAACGACGGATGACATCGGACAATCACTCATATGATAAGCTCCGCTCAACAAAGCTAAATATGTTTTTATTTATTATATTATGTCAATATACAACTAGTGACTGATTTATAATACTTGACAGGAATTTTAGACGATTGAATTCAAGACTAGAAATGCAACACTTGTTTCTCATATAGGGAAAAACACAGGATACACACTCTTATCCTGAGGGACTAAGCTTGGTATTTTGGCATTATTTCTTGTTAAATATTCAAAGTTGACTATTTGAAAGTTTGTTTTTACACAAAGAGTTTTTTTTTTATTTGTGAAGATAATATAATGACATCAAAGTAGTATTTGAGGTTGGTATAACAGCTGTATAGTTAGACAGTTAAAAATGGAATTTTTTTTTACCAAAAATATTCACTAAAATTAGAGAATTGAAGGTATCATAACAAAATGAACAAATCTAACTAAGGTCCACTTGAGCTGTCTACATATAAAATAACCATTTTTAAGAAGAATTCAAAAATAACACTTTTTAGAGATTTGAAGATATCTTCATGAAAAGAACAAATCTGAGAAGGGTCCACCCAAGGTACATATATATACGAAGTATCAAAGCAAGCTGATTTTCTGTTTTCAAGAAGCAATATGCATAGCTCTGCTATGTTGACTAAGTAAAATTAGTTTTCTTTTTTTCATTTTGCATTGATTGTTCAGCGCTAGGATGCAACTTACAAATTAGGATGCAAATTAGCTAACTTCCTCTGAAAGATCCGATTTATTTAAATAATCATTAGGAAACAGGCTCAAATGAAAGCACCCTTAGCCCTACCCATATAATACAGAATCCACACTGCGCAGGTTCATAGAAAGCAGAGAAGTCAGAACTCATCTATTAGCACAAGTGATAATTACATCAACATTTACCAACTAAATGACATCAATCAGACTTATCATAAAATTCACTGCATTTATAATTCAAAGCCACAGATAATTATATTTCACTTTATTTACTGAAAATGAATAGTGGCTTACATGGTTTGACAAGCAGTGACAACTGGCACTATTGATGTGATAGTACAAATACATGATACTGAACAGTTTTCAGTTATAAAACTTAACTCCAATATATAAACTGAAGGCCATCATATAAAATCTAGTCTCCACCTGTGACTAATTCGTGACACACACTGTGTGCACATTACAGTCATACGTGTATTACTGTGAGTACATTTTATTTGGCAATTACAAGAATCAATGACCAAATTAACTCTTATAGTTACTTAGGGACTAAAAGCCTTAGTTTATGGTACTAATATTAGCAAAACACTGAACAGCAATGAATAGATCATATAACAGAAACATTCACAGGGGAGGACGATGCCCTGAACACCAACTGCGTTTTTTTCCATTGCGGAGAAATATCACGTCTCTGTAAAACCAAACTCTAAAATCGAATTCATTGAATTTAGTCATAACATCACTGATAAATTGGCCTCTTTATCATTTACAATATGTTTGCCTGAAACAAGAGTCAAACATAATCAAGGACTCTATAACATAAGCATAATGCTATGTGACAACAACAGTAACAAATGCCGTTATGTGCTGTTACTGCCAACATCACAAACAAATCAGCCACCACATTGTGTTTACATTGTCAAAACCTTGCTCTTCATGATCTATTACATAACATGATGTGAAGCCTTATGACGTCAACAGTAATACGCAAACAAACTGTTGTTTTGATTTAAGCATGTTATGTGACACAAAACAGAGGATTAAAATTAGCTTGAATAATTTTGCCACGATTCTGTTTCATCACGATAACCTGGGATAAATACAATATGCTGGCTCACTTCAGCTGTCAACGTACATCGAGGTCATAGCTGAAGCAGACTAGGTCACAAAGCTCCAGAGAATGCATATCAAATACTACACTTTAACAAACAGCACTAGAGATACCACGGAGCAAGTGGCAGCAATGCAGTAACATACTTACGTAGCTCTTGAAGAACTGTCTAGAAAATAACAGACGCCATGTTTCTAAATTAGATATCCATGTACAATGATGGTGGACTGGCAAACGGACATCACAACCACACTAAACATCAAAAAGGTCAACCTCACAATTTATACCTCTCAAAGTATGCTTTAATAACAACAAAGGGCAGCTGCAGGGTTTCATGTAACTCATTAAATAAACGTCAAAGGAAAGGTACACAGTCAGAATGATTTAAAGAGAGCGAACATCTGAGAGAGCGAGACAGGAAGCAAGATTGTTATGACATCAGATTTCCTTGAGAAAAATCGTGATCATGGCATGGCATTGCAATGCATTATGCAATGGCCCATTTAACCTAATAACGATTTTATACTAAAGACGTGTTTCAATACACGTATAAACAGAACTCATAAACTAGAGGACAATTAACTTAAAGCAGCAATAGCTGTGATTCTTTATTTGTTTAACCATATAAAGATGACCAAGTCTTTTACAAAATATTGTTTTATACAAGATTGTATGGGCAAAGTAATGTTACAGAAGGCTAATGTCACATAAAATGTGATGTACAGGAAACTAGGGGTCGAGTAGTCGTCATTCATTGAAATCGGTTACTTGATCAGAACATGATGCACAGCGCACATTATTTGTGGGAAATGACATAAAATAATCAGTGAGAAGTCGTCAGAGAGGTTAGTCCCCCCAAGAAGGCAATGTT